CCAAACCATTCAAAAAAAAATAGAACAACCTATAACCTAACCTAGCCTATAACTTTTGCAACCTAATCCTAACCTAACCTATAGGTTAGGTTAGGTTAGGATCAACCTGCAGGGCTCTGATATAGGTGTTTCATCAAACGGTGTGTCAAGCACTAAACATGTTTATGCAATGTCATTTTCCTCCTGCTTTCTGCGACGTCTCTTACAACAACCACTAAAAGAAGAAACAGACTATGGTAATATGATGAAATCTGGTCACTTCTGTCCAATTATTTAAGAATTTAAAATTTTCGTTCCTACCAAAGCAATCAACAGGAGCAACAGCAAAGGAGCGCTAAGAGTAACAGCAACAGCAGGAGTGTGCAGAGCAATATAAGTAACCAATTAACGGATGTCGAATGAGCTGAAAGTGTATATATTTTTCATTACAAGGATGAGTAAGATATGTGATGACACTAACGTGTTGTTGTCGTTGTTCTTGTTAAAGTTGTTATAGTTACAAAAGTTTCTGTTTCGGTGGTGGTACTAAAGATAAACAATGAAAATAACATCTTTGATTTATTTCTATCTTTGCTAGGAAAAACACCTTACTCAAAATCAGAGTAGAAATCTGTTTCGGATGATAAGTACGATGTTCTATCCGATGCTGCTGTTGTTGTGCTAAAGACAAAAAAGTATAGAAATTCTATCACCATCGAAATTCTATTGATTACTCTGAAGTCGTTGTTGGCTCTTGTGTTTGACCAGGACATAACGCAGCACTATCATCCCCAACAGTAAATGTTAAACAGTATTGATTTGATTGAACACTTTGACTAAAATAATAAAATTTCTTCACTGCTCTCCAAGAAAACAATATAAACTGCCTAATACCTGTCTACGGCAACTGAACATAATACTTGTGATCCTACTTCTTGTGATGTTGGAATCCACGTTAAAGTAACTGAGCCCAATGTTGCATTTTGAACGAGTGCATTCTTGATAACAACTGGAAAGGAGAGAGTACCAATGTCGCGCATAGTAACACCACTAGCAGCACAATTATTTTCTACGATCAATTGCAATTGAAACTGTTGACCGACTTGAACGCCAAGACATGAGCCTGGTGTGTAATCACCATAGAGCAATGGTTGACTTGTACACGCTGGCTGAGCATAGATATATATTAAAAATTGTACTGGCACAGAACTGAAGCGATCAGTTGTGATAGAATTATAATAATCTTCGATCTATTAAGTACAAAAGTTCCAGAAAACATAACTAGCAAGCATATGCCGCCTTGCGACTACCATTACCAATGTACACAAGTATCAGTTTCAATAGTCAAATGCTTTCTCAGTAGTTGACAAGCTACTGATGTGGCCACCTATATCCTTACTGCTTGCTAAACAAGAGGTATCCTACAAAACCAAAAAAGAGTATTTTAATTCCGGAAAACCAGTTTTGATTTTCCGGGATTAAAATACTCTTTTTTGGTTTTGTAGGATACCTCTTGTTTAGAAAGTAGTTATCATCTATGACGCTGATCAGAAGCTTAAACTGAAGCAGAGTTTTTTTGCTCAATTGCTTGAGTTCTACATATACACTTATTGCTCGCGTGATAGCTTTTTCGGAAAGTCACTTAGACTGATCGGAGGAGCTGCATTGTACGTCATAATGAAGTATGTATGCTGTCCGACGGGTGATCCAAGATACTATGACACAAAAAACTTGCTCAAGTTTATTACATAGCTTGTATGAGGCGACACAATACTTCTGAAGTACGAACATAACCACTAAGGTATGATGTTCTCAAATAGAACTAGTTCTCTTTCCTATCTGATGGATTGTAGGTGGCACATACCACCAAATCGAAAAATTTTAAAAGCTTCTTCAGTCAAAACCGATTGAATTGGTCTTCTCCATAGTCGATTATCTTGTACGCAATAACTTTTGGATCAGGATACTTCAGAAAAAGATTTGCTCATGATCTTGCTCAAAAATTTTTGAAAAAAAAGTCACTACATGGGACCAGAGGTAAAACGCTGCCAAAAACTTTTTCTGAAGTACCTCGATCCAAAAGTTATCGCGTACAAGATAATCGACTATGGAGAAGACTAATCTGCAATCGGTTTTGACCGAAGAAGCTTTTAAAATTTTTCGATTTGGTGATGTGCGACCCTCTCGAGCTTTATTAGAAATGGGGTACAGCAAACTTAATGATTTGAAATTAAACCCAACCTGTAGCGTGACAGCGTACCAATCTCCCACGTGGGTCCCTTTAATAATTAATTAGATAGTATTTGAGTGGCACTAGGGTGTGATGCAGGCGGACAAACATCAGCGCATGCAGTTGCTCCGTGGGAGAACCGACAACGAACGTTATCATTGTCCGCGTCAATTGTTGGTATATTGATGTATTGTGTAATATTAAAAGGGATATAAATGGGCGATATTATAGATGCTAAAGGTGGTGTATTCAATGTGCCATCAGATCGAGGTCTTAGATCGACAAGACAAGAAACACTCCAAGCCGATCCACCATTGCTACACAATTCAGTGTACCACCAAAATCTGATTTATTCGTAGGGTCAAATTGTGTTTGACTGATGATATAAGAATTATTACAATAAATTATCGGTTATCGGTATAGGTACGTTTGAGTAAATAGAATTGACACAGTAGTTGAAGTTGCATTTACTATTTTATAAGTTATTGTGCCGCCTTGAAAGTGTGAGCCATCGGTAGTGGGTAGGTCGAATAATAAGAATATGAACAAAACCAGCATTTGCAAATCAAATCTCCTACACGGAACTATGTATAGATCAGCAACTTTTATTCTTAACAGAAAACAGTATGTGTATTTTAAAATTTTCTGTTTAAAAAGATACAATGAGTCAAAATAGTCTCTTTATATTAAATTTTCTCTTATCACTTGGGAAACATTTCATGACTTATGAACGTTCGGAAATAAAATTTTATTATATACGTGTTTAAGGAGTGAAATCTAATATGTCCGGAAGTTAGCGTGCAACTTGATAGTAATTGAATAACTGAAATAAAAAAATGAAAATAAACTGAGGTATACACTTAAAAATAAAACTAGTCCATCCAATACTAATACTCAGACACGAATATTTTGGTAGTGTCTGAAAATGATGAAGATGCTTAAATAAGTGGAAATTTAAATAAACAAACCAAAGTTCACTACATTTAATTTAGAAATTTGAACAGTTTGGACATAGACGAAATAAATACAAATCATTTTCGTTTAAATTACAAAGACAGCTAAATTGTTCATATCATACCGTACATACAGAAACAGCGATTTGGCCCACGACACTGATTTCTATATTATTAACAATGTAAAAAAAATAATAATCTGTGCTTTTTGAAAATAGAAGGACGAGTCGTGAAAAGACGCATTTTTTTCCGGCAAAAAGACGTTACGGAGGCATTTAGAAGCCATTCTGGAGACACTATAGAAGTACTTTAAAGGGCAATAACTTAGAATGTTCTCTCAGAGGACGTTCTGAACCCTATCGCACTTTTATGTTTTGCGGAAGCCGAAATTTATTTCGTATGACCCAAGACATATCACCGACAGAAACTAACGTTCATCTACAGTCGTGGAAAAGGGCTTTTTCGTACTCAGTACACTCTATAACCCAAAAGATTTTGTAGTTTTGGCGAGGGGTACCGGCAGACCCAGATCGAATTCGCCCTATCGGATCCTGTAGGATACTTTTAATTCCGGCGATTTCCGGAGTTCAGACGGCCGACCGGATCCGGAGAGAGGAAGCTGCTCAATTTTTTCGCTTCCCGATATCTGAATCCTGGAGAATCCAGAGATCGAATCCGATATCCTAAACCAGTCAGATCCGTTAATTTTTTTCCGAATAGACAAAAAAAATGCGGTTATGGGACTATTCGCAGCTGCGAATTTTCTCAGTAACGAAACGTTGTGGACAGCTTGGACTGGTCTTCCGTTGACGAAAACACATGTGACTAGCGGCTAACAGAGCCGGATTTTTGATAATTTACTTTTCAAACTAATGATCAGCGTCAACTTGCATAAAGATATTTTTCTAACCATAAATTTAGACTGAATATCAAAAATCAGGCTCTATTAGCCCCTAGTCACATCTGTCAGCTTCAATTTAATACCTTCCCGAGCTCTCTGTGATGTTCGGTTATTCAGAACTTTTGCAGCTACGACATAGTGTTAAAATGAAAGTGGCTTTCGGGATATGGTGGCGCCCGTATCTAATGGTCATTCATTCCTGATTCAGGAATGAATGAAGAAAGAATGAATTTAAAAACAAAAGAACAGAGTAAAACGTCATTGAGAATATCGTCTCTGTTCCAATTGTGTAAACAGATAACGATTTACAAAAGCACTTAGTGGAAAGAAAACATATCACGTTTGCTTTTGTTTCACTCTCATCAGAATAAGAAACAGAGTGAGTTGAAGCACACATTATAATATGTGCTTAAAAGAGTGAAATATCCATTCGATTACAGCACAAGATATTTCATGTTTCATGTTGTTTTGGCTTTTATTTCTCGTTTGTACTACTATCCATGTTCTTTTTGCTGTCCGTTTTAATCTTGCAGTGTAGTTATTGTCTTTTCAATAACTGTTTTTTTCTTTTTCTTTTTTATTCTTTTATTTTTCACGTGTTTTAGTTTTCTATTTTTGACTACCATGGCAACCTGTTCCACAGTATACCCGTGAGGGCACTCGGATCTCGATGGGGGAGGATATGTGGGGATTCTTTGTCACAACCTCTCCTTCCACTATGTGCAGATTAAATTCGCATACATGTATTGTGTTTTGTTCTCTAGATCCACGGACGTTTCGAGTACCCATCAGCTCCAAACAATCTAATCAATGGCAACACGAGCGATGAAAGGAACTGATCTACCACGAGCTCAGTGGTATTGGAAATCAAGTTATGATCCATGGTTAACAAATGGAATAGAAGAATGGACAAAATATTCTGATATCGAATCAGAGATTATAGAAGAAGCATTTAATGGGAAAAGTAAAACAGAACCAGCTGAACTAGATAATTATTGGATCAACGTAAAGAATTCCATTCAAATCAGTAAATCGGATCAAAATAAACAACGGCTGATAAAGAGAGTTCTAATTAAGAGAAATGAAAATGAGGGTTTAAGAGAAGAAAGATTCTTCCTTCCACAACCACTGAAACCGTTGAGTCACGATAGCGGACGCGACTCTGATACTTTTCTTTCACAGTGGAAGAAAGATAAGCAGCTTTCTGATCCTGAGATAGTAGAGCAGGCAGCGCTTGGAATAATTCTCGAAGGAAAGCAACTCGACAAACACCGTGAATCACAATGGCTAGCTGAACAATTAACAGCCGTGAAAAACCAAGGGAGACAAGAAATTTATAACTGCTGCATTATGCTATACACAATAGAATGCTTCCTGTACAAACTAATAAACAAAGCATTGAGAGAAAACGATCAGAGCAAAGTAAATACTCTCGGCCCATTCTGCTACATATTATTTCGAAGCTGGTACACCGATCACAACCAATATCGCCTGCAACTCTATCGTGGTGTAAATATCGATCCCAATACGGTTAAATCGTACGACCAAGCCACTGGCGAGACGAGATGTTGGGACAGTTTCACCTCAACGAGCAAAAGCCGCAAAAAAGCCGAAAACTTCGGCAATACACTATTCATTACAGATGCAACAACCAAAGGTGGCACTGATCTACTCCAACGTTCTAAATACCCAGACGAACAAGAAGTCCTACTTCCACCAGGAACAACATTTACAATCATCGAAGTAAAACCCGACCCAAAGACAACCAAAAACCATACTAAAATACGACTCGAATCTTATCGGCATTCTTCACTAGCTGCATGATCATTGATTCAGTTCTTGTCGACCTAATCATCGTCATATGAGCATTCATGCGCGGACAGTTAAATGTCATCTAGTGCAATGGAACATGTACGAGATGAATGAATAGTCAGTTAGTTACCGGCATTCTTCACTAGCTGCATGATCATTGATTCAGTTCTTGTTGACCTGATCATAGTCATATGAGCACTGATGCGCGGACAGTGAAATGTCATCTAGTGCAATGGAACATCTACGAGATGA